TTTAATCGCGTTATCAGAGGAAGACCAGCAATAGTTCATTAGCAGGTCAAAGCAGACGCGCATGTCTAAATTTATTACACTACATATAAATTAACTGCTCTTGCACTCCTCATCACAAATTTTGCAAACGCTATCGTCAAGGATTTATATTGATTTTAGGTCAGATTTTTGAGTTAATTTAGTATACACATGATTACTTGATACCCACCCAGCCTCTCCCTTTATTTTCGATACTGCTGTTTTTGTTTTTATTTTACAGATTTATGTGTGTTGTCTGTACATATACTTCAACATTAAAGAAAACCTGTTCAATTCCGCACACTATTAATTCATTATTTCATTACATTTTAGTTTTATTTCAATTTTAATTATCTATTTTATTTTAAAGATTTTAATTTACGGTTACCCAAATACCCTTTGTTGATGGGTTGGTAACCGATAGAAGCCGTGATCTTACTTCGCCAATAAATAAATATTATTCTTCTTGCAATGCCTTCTTGAAAATTTACAGATCAAGCATTTTCTAGAAAATTGAAAGCATTTGTTAACAGAGAATGGACAAAACTAACTAATGGTTTTTATCTGTACTTGACTGTAGATGACTTTAAAGACCCCTGTATGCACATAATTGAATGACAGAACAATTTTGCAATTCAAACTATTCTGTTATTCTACTTATTTTTTTATCATCTTTAACACTGCAAAATGTATCGTACTGATCAATTTAAATTTCTGTAGTCGATCAATTATATTCGTTAGCTAAAGATTGCCTTTGATCTAAACGATATTAATAGCTTTGTAAAACGTCCATTGCCTACTATCAGCCAATTTACTCGGTATCATTAACCTTTTATTTATCCACAATGTATTCACAGTTATGAAATATGATTAATGTTATAAAAATTAGAGACAACCAAGCATATCTTATAAGGTCACACACGGAAAAATATACTATTGATATTGTAGCTAGCATAAATCGGACAAAAAGTTCAGATTAACATTATCTTATAATTCTTCTCTGTTTATTGAGTGCATTGTGTTACTATATTTCAACTATTAAATTGACTGCTGCAGAAAAAAAATAACATGTAAATTGTCTATTAATCGGAATTAATTGAGATCTTTGTGTTTGTACTTACCATCATACACTAAGACCACTTGAACTGTCTATGCTACTATCTGTATTCCATTACGATAGTGAAGAACTCAAATACAGCTACGTAGATTTGGTTTAACTTTTATGGAATTTCTTTCAATATAATTTAATTCTTAACTGGAGAAGCGGGTGATAATTATTCACTATGTATGAGTATGCTGATGTTACACCAAAAGACAGGAACAATAAAAAATATTTCAACTGCAATTGCAAAACAGGTTCTTCAGCAAAAAATAGGCGTCTTTTTTTCCAGTCTTAAAATATTCCGGGTCTGAAGAGTTAAACATCTCATAAATATCAGTAATTACCAAAAATTATAAAATTATAAAAAAAAGCTATAATGGATATATAAATACTGGACTGTAGAAAATGATACACCACAATATGTAGTACACCACTTTAGACATTGACGTTACCAATTTAAATTTAAAATCTTTTTTGTCTTTTGCAAAAAGTAAAATCACAAAAATACTGAACTCTGAGGAAAATTCAAAAAGAAAGCCTCCAATCAAATGGCTAAATCAAAAGTTCAAACACATCAAACGAATGGATAACAACTGTCGTATTTCTGACTTGGTACTGGCATTTTCTTATGTAGAAAATGGTGGATTGAACCTTGTATTATAGCTAGTTAAACTTCTCACTTGTATGACAGTCGCATCAAATTCCATTATATTGACAACGATGCGTGAACAGACAGACACAATAGGTAAAAATGTCAAACATAGGGGTACAGCAGTCAACATTGTGTTATCATCTTAATCACTATAAAAACAAACAAATGTAACGAAGAAGCACAAAAAGGCATACATCAAATTTAACATCCTTATTTTGCTTATATTATACGATTTTATTTATCTATGTAAAATCAACCCATAAAGGATGGAAGGTTTTAAGTACTGGCGTAAAATCGCGCGTTTGAAATTCGCACAGGTAGACATAAAAATAATTTTGTCGTTCAAAGTATGACGGGATACATAAATACAGAGTCACGTAACATAGTAATCACAAAAAAACAGACTTAACAGTAAAAGTAATATTAATAAATAAAATAATTGTGTGGTACAAAGTATGACGGCATACATAAGTACAGAGTCACGTCAAATGTATATCACAAAAAACAGACTTAACAGTAAAAGTAATATTGATAAATAAAATAATTTTGTCGTTCAAAGTATGACGGGATACATAAGCACAGAGTCACGTCAAATGAATATCTCAAAAAAATTTGTAGATTATCACTTTCCACTGCAATGGAAATAAAATCACCTTATCTCATCAGGTGTGGCTTTATGTATATGATTTTATCTTTAGAACACTTTAAAATCCTTGTTTAAAGACTAATGTTATAAGGAAGAAAATGTGTCTTTTTAAAAGATATGTGGATCAATATAATTAGTGTATTTAGAAATAGTATATCAATAAGAGAAACAAAAATCTTCCTGTTAAAATCAAGTTTTAAAGATATCGTCTTTGCGCTTTTTGATCGATGTAAAACGAAAAAAAATAAGAGTAAAAGAACAAAATCCTATTACAATGTATACATCAGAAAATTAAATCACAGCTGTTGATAAAATTCCGGCATTTTCTTTATAGTTTGAATGTATTTCAAGTAATTCAATTTCAACAAAACAAAAGTGCGATTTTTACGTTTATGAATATCAGAACATGTATCGCATTAGTAGAAAATAATAGTTGTGGAAATGAAAATGGAACAAATAAAAAAATTACAAAATACTTAACTCCCGCTAACCAATATTTGAGGCTCATTTATCAGAGCAAATGATTTGCATTTACATAATGGTTTCCTCCACTTCTTGAATAACAAGAATGACTTGCACGTATTTTGCTTGCTAATTAAAATTTACGTATCCAGAGATTCATCATGTGGTTTTTCTTTCTATTTTTGGTCTGATATTTGAAAACTATCGCAACTCAAGAAAAGGCGTTTAAATTTTACAAGAGAACACAAGGTGAAATGTCGCCTGCTTTACTGATCATGATTGAATTTCTGTTGGAAGTCTAAGATGAAGGTTTTACTTCAAGTATCACGTCAACATTATCAATCATCCATGTACATGTAAATGAGGTCAAGGTCAGATGGATTCTCCCAGACGGAAATATACACCATACAATAATAGCATACAACAAATATAGTTAACCTATTGCTTATTACACATAACCATACATGTTTAGTATCTGAGAAAAAGACCTAACCATGGACACTGAGGTCAAGGTTAAATGAACTTAAAAGACAGATATATATATATATAACATACAAACATTCCATATATCAAATACTTTTGACCTAAAGCTTTATTATCTAAGAAAAGGGACCTAACAATAAAAAAAACTTAGCATGAACCAATGAACCATGGACATGTAGTCAAAGTTTGCTTAACCATAAATATGAAGTCAAGGACAACATATTACAGACGGAAAGCTTGTAACAGAAGGCATCCGAATACAAGGTATAACACATTTAGGTCTTCTACCTTCTGAAATATAAAGCTATATTATTCCAATTTGTCACCACCTTGCAAATAAGCAAATATTTTACATCCATATCAGTAGTGTCAGTCTATTACAAAGGAGGGCTTATATATTCAAGTTTCAATCATGGTATGCATGTGATATTTGCGACTGGATGTAATACACCACTCTATCCATCAATGGCATCTTGTCTACCTTGATAGAAGAAGTATTCCTTACAGAAATGATATAAAGATTGTCTTGGATACTGTTTTCCTACATAACCAAGTTAAAAATAAGGACCTATGTGTGGTATGAGACAACAATCCATATGGTCTAAAGGACGAAGATGTGAACTATAAAAACATACAGGTTGTCGTACAGTATTTTACAATAAGCAAAAAAAAAAACAAAATAATTCGCAACAAAAACAACATTTCATTGAGTTGTATGTTAGATTCAGTTAAATGTTTTGTAACTACCAGAAACCATTTATTTTAGATCAAAACCAAATATATCATCTTAATTGAAATATACAGATTCTTTGAATTTTTCCATGATATAGTAACCTTTATCATACAAGAACCTCTCTACGTACCGTAAAAGTGATTTAAAGCTTATCTTGTCAAATTTATTTATACAGTCATATACTACTGTTTAAAAACAAAATAAATATTTAAGAACTGGAAATTTTGTTGAGAGAATTAATCACTAAAGTCTTTTAACACTATACAAGTCAATATATGGATATGATTTATTGATTGCTCCCTTAGTGTCCAGGGGCTAATATGTCATGCAAATTCTGGAGCCCGTACAAAGATGGGATCAAAAGGGATCAAGGGTTTCAAAGTAAGAGTGACTGATGAAAAAAGTATATCGTAAAAGAATAAAGTTAAACTTTAGCCCATATCCCAAGGTCCTCTTAAAAGTCCTTCCTTTCTCCTCGTGGTATACGGATGCCAAACAAAAACAAAAACTAAATAAAAAAAAATCCAATAACGGCTATCCTCAATTCAATAAGATATGTACTTTTTTTGTTTATGCATTTTTATTGAAATCAACAATTTCGGATTTGGGCATGTTCGAAATTCAACTATAACATCGTTTGGTTTTTAACAAGAGGTGAGCAATGCAATGCACTTTAATTCTTCTCTAAAGATTTGTGTCTAATTAGTCCTGCCAGATGTACTTTTATTAAACATAACCGGGTTAATAACCTCGGAGTACAATGAGTAACCACAAGCGATCCTTTATGAAATGAGATTGTCCTGTGTATTGTAGATCATAATTTTTCATTGGAATACAGGTAATAATTGCACGACATGATTTGTAACTAGTGATAATTCACATACCGCTAATAGTACACCCGGAAGAAAAGTACGCTCATATAAAACCATTGTTTTGTTGAAATGAAAAGTTAATAATTTCCTTTAACAGGTTTCATTAGCCAAAAAAAAAAAAAAAAAAAATGGCAGAAATGGAAGTAAACGTTTGTTTTTGTTTATTTGTTTTAAATCAATGCAGTCTACTGGCATCATGTAAGTAATATTTCGTAGTGTATGATATAGAAATTAAAACAAATTTGTAAAAGGGCTGTGTTCTTTAAGATTTTCGGATTAAAACCACATCATTTAGACATTGGTGGATAGTTGTCTCATCGGCAATCATACCACATTTTCTTATTTTATATTTAAGGAATCTCGAAGATAAATTATTAAATTGAGTATAAGTACGTACACTTTATAATAGATGGATATTTTGAAACGCCTTTATAAAGTACAGATTCAATTGACGTTTTACAATCATTTGTATATGTCTTGAATATTTTCCTTATTTTTGGGGGAACATCTTTTATATTGAATCAATCTACAAAACATGTATGCGTAACGAGGATGACCATTGTCTGTACTAGAGGGTCATATTAAAAAAGATTTTTTTTAATTTCGAATATGTATCGATGTTTGACCACGGAGATTGTGACATAATGAAAATAACTGACCGCATTGGAACACAGTCTACCAAGTATAAAGATAGTTCGAAGGCTTGAATTTTGAATCGGTCTGCGCAGATTTTTGCGCAATGATATCGTAAGTTATGCTTATTGTCGAAATAAGCCATTACAGTTAATTTTGATAATTTTAAATGATCGATGTTATCTAAATACATATAGGAAGAGGTGAATAATTGAAAACTGCAATTTCATAACTGTATAAAGTTTATTGTTGCAATTTTCATTGTTTCAAATGCACTTTTGTTTTGGAAAAAAGGAGCATTTTCTCGAAGTCTGGGAAGACACAAAGATATTGATAACTCATAATAAACGAACACGATAGCTGCTTTTCATGAATTCTGTAATGCAGATCCAAACCTATAGATAGCGATCTTCATTCTGTTAGGAAATGAAGCAGTTTAGTCCTTGTTATACATTAGAAAAGGGCTTGCAAATATGCGAAAGAGGCATGTGAACAAAATAGGAAATATTGTAAAGTAAGCAGTTTACATCGTCTGCTAATGAACAAGTGCTCATCAGAGCGATACAAGATAACAAAGACAATCATTTGCTAGTGTAACATTTGCAGAAATGATTTCACAGCAAAATCTGAGAACAAAATGTATACAGCCATAGCTCATGGTATTTCACTACATTGTACTTGTGATAAATGTTTTTTTTGACAGTTTGTGGACCTTACAGCCCAGGTGCGTTGTCTAAATTTTCATAAAGGAAAGACACTTTGTTTTTCTGGGGGAAAAGTTAGGTAATTTATTTTTTGGCAACCCGAATGATCATTTCCCTTGTTATTGGCCTCGAATAATTGAATTCTAGTCATTTAGCCCTGACTCTCGTTGTTACATCAGTTTGTTTCGTTAAAAGTTTTTTTTTGTTTTGCACCGCTTCCTGTTTGAGCTGTGTCATTTCATCAAAATCTTATATTATAAAATAAAATATGTATGTTGTTTGAACACAAACATGTCATTTTTCATTAAAATCTTAAACACATTTCAAGGACTTTTTTTTATATGCACCGTTTATTCAAGCCATTTTTGGTTAAGCATGTGCACTGTTATAGACTAGAATTTATTTCCTTATATAGGCTGTACAATTTGGTTTGAAATTAAATCTTTTACAAAGCTACCTTCCATTCCATGTCTGCTCGTCTGAATAAAATGGAAAAGAAGCGGTGGGGGGGGGGGGGGGGGGGGGGGAGGGGGGGGCAGCGGCGGCGAGGTATGGGGTGTTCTTAACTTTTTCATTCTTATATTTTTTTTCAGATCATTTTTTTGCTATTCACTATTTCACTTTTCAATCATTTTTTTTTATTTATAAATTAACACCCCAATAATCTTTTTTTTTGTTTTGTCTATTCTTGTCTATTCTTTATTGATTTTTTCCCATTAAATATGTTTTTATCTAATATGTAAACCCAATACAAACCTTCCTATCTATTCCCGCAGAATCTTAAGGAAAGAAACAAAAACTTTTTGACAGGAACATTTGTCTTTTCATAAAATTTATATCAATTTGTATGGCTTATATTGCCTCTTTTGATGAGATTGCTACTGACTGATCAGAATTGTCATGGCTTGTTCCACATGTAAAGTTTCATATTCATTATGATAAATTTTAAACAATTTGATATTGATTAGAATTGTATTCACTTTGCAGAATTGATTATAACTACTAAAATTATACCGGTATGCGTTTTACTAGCACAGTTTACTTTTCATGGACAGAATTAAAAAGTCTGCAATGAAGAATAATTCTAATCTTGCTAACAGTTCAGATTGACAAATAGTTCTTACATAATAAAAATTATATGATTACCCTATTGGCAAAATATAAAATGCTTTTCATGTTATTTGGTGCAATTATTTCTTCATCACGTAATGAATGTACATTTAACATTAAATATAACTTATTTTGGGCTTAAAGAACCAAAGAAAATACGTGGTATACCAGCGAAGAAAGGCCATTATACAGAAGGCATACACATGTTGAAAATACATATAAACATACAATCCTAAATACAACCGAAATAAATAATCATGGAAAGTGAAAATTTGTGATCCCTCTTTAGCTCTACATTTATATGCCCACAGGCATGTACAACGGATCTGCATACTAGAGAATATACATGTATAAGGCACTAATTTAGCCAAAAACACAGTATGGAACACAACATAGCTTTCTATTTTGATAGTTAAATGTTTATATTAATAAGATACCAGTAAAAGTAGTTTTGTAAAGTTTAACCGGACATGTTGACAGAAATATCTTAATGAGTTGACCTACATGTCTGATATGTCCACTAAATTGTAAGAAGTTTTGAAAATTTCGTTTTGTTTTAAACTTATTTTTATATCTCTCTAAACGAAAGTATACATGCCTAGTAACATAAAAAAAAAAATGTTTTATTCTGTGAAGGGAAGAAGACAGATTTTGCTTTTACATTTACTATAATTGTTTATAGAAAACTGTTTGATCAATTTCCATTGCTGTTTATTAAATTGAGCACATCTAACATATGTTAAGGCAATGACAAACTACTACTGCAAAATAAGGTCTTACAACATGTACAATGAGAAGACAAAAATATATCTTCTCTTTATATTGATCACTGATATCTAGACAAACATATATGTATATCTGCACTGGTAAACAATGACAAAAACATTGTTAGCATGCAAAGACATATAACGTATCAAGTGTGACTTTGGTTAGTGATGGATCAAAGAATATAAAAAAGAAGATATGGTATGATTGCCGATGAGACAATTTCTCACCAGAGACCACATGACGTAGATGTAAGCAACATATGTGTTAAAATGACATAAATCTTCCATCTAGAATACCTTAAAAAAAATATATACATATAAGTCATTATCAGTGATTGGTCAAGGATGGTAGCAACACATTGGTCTTGCCAACCATTCACATACTTACAGATTTATAAACGGTGAACTTAATTATCTCATAATTTTAGTGAATGTCATAAACATTGAAAGTGAGTTCTCTTTTAAGGTCACTTTTAATCGTATGGCTCTCAACGTGTTTGAGTTCACATCAATCCTTGACTTTCAATTTGTTTGTAGTTTGATCATTTATGACGGAGATTAATCCAGAAAACGCACTGGAAGCATAACTTTCAAAAGCTTTATTTGCATTTAAAAAAGGAAATGTTAACATACTTGTCTTAAAGCGACCACAGATGATTGAATGTAGTCAATAATTGACACGTACTAAACACTAACAACTGATACAAGGCCACTTCGCAATACCAGAGGTTCTAAGACGCAAGCTCTTTTTCTGGTTAATTTTGTAAAGCTTCACACAATTGTTTTGTGTAAAATAGACATCTTGTGGGATCTTGCAGATCATTTTTTAATAGTTCCTATCTTTCTATTATAATTAGAAAAAAAAATAAAAAAACACGTAATGACGAAAATCGATGCACTACTATTGTATATAGTTGATTAACGATTTCACAAATTTTTTTTCATGATTCTTTATTGTTTCTTTATTTCAATGTTCAAAGAACAATACGCTTAATTGGTTCAAGGACGGTTCGAAGTTGTCATTTAAGGATAGTAAAGACCACTCGACGACAACAATAATTATGACTATGCTGCAGTTATGTGAAACTGCATTTTGTACTTCAGGCTTTTGTTTTCCAGGAGGTTATTTGGTCGAAAACATGATTTATAGAACTTGACATATAAAGATTATACAGACCATATTGTCAAAGGAAGTTTTATATTTTTGTGTTTCTTTCAAACGAAATTTCCGCATTTTGTATTTACGTTCATATGAAAATTGTCCTGTACTCTTTACATAGACGATAGTTAGCCCAATTATTAAGTCATTTTATGTTATAATGACAGATGTTTTGATTTTATATTTTCAATATACTTTCTTTGCATTCACACCTCTTGATTCAAAAACAAAAATGTATTTATAATAATTTGGATCATATTTGTACAACAAACAGTGTTAGGTGAAGTGGGGACATTTTACTTGAATGTTTTTAAACTACAAGCATTTTTTTTCTGAAGAGAACGATTAATGGAAAATCATTTATTTAAGAGCAAGCCTACACTATATTTCAATATATATAAAACCATGGAAATATTGATATATGTAAACCGAAACAAATATGACTTCTGTTGTCAAGATTTGTGTAAAACTTTTTAAAACGTCCGTTTTCTTTATTATGAGCCCTCTCCGTATAGCTAAGACACCTCGTCCCATTGTGGTGATTACTGACTAAAAATCAGTATTAAATCCTGAAAATATATAGTGCAAGACTGTGCATGTGTTTTCTTTATACATAATCAGATGTTAAAATGTGTATGAAAAGGAAGAAAACAAGATCCATAATTAGTTGATCTATAATTAGAGCCCTAAGCTGGATTAAGGAGTGGGGCGTCCCCGATGTGTCTTCTCGGAAAACATATTTCTAGCATCCTATTCTTAATCTCCGCTTTGGTCTATTGTTTGCACAAATTTAACAGAAACAGATACATTTTAACCATCCACAAAACCTAAGTTTTCCAAGTTTTTGTTCAGTATTACTTGGTGCCTGTTTGTCTTTGTTTTTTTTTTTTTTTTTTTTTTTTTTTTTGCTATTTAATGCTTGTTATACAGTGTGGAATATGCAACGTCCATATTGAACTATATTTGAATTGATGTTCATAATCATCTATTTGCATGTTGGCTATTGTCTCGTGGCCATTCATTGTTCATCTAACTGCTAGTTTGCGACAAACAGTTTGGGATGAAAAAAACGTATCACTGTGCAAAACAGAAATCTGACCGATATCTTTCTCTCCAATTCCTATAGTTATTTGACATTTTAAAACGCAAAACAGTACCGGGGCATACACTATTTGAACAACTTTTAGCAAGTATATTTACTGTTAAAAGAATGTTAAAAGACTAGTGCTCTAACTCTTCAGTAATTCCGTAATGACCCCATAAGAACATACATTTAGGTCTTTCACACAGCTTTTGTCCAATCGCCTAGTTATGTTGTCACAGCAAGCTTTGCAATGACTGATTTAATACAAACAAGTTATGTCCAGACTCTTGTTGTGAGATTTGTAATATGTGTGCTATACATGCATCGATGAAAAGCTTACAATGAATCGAACACATGGCAAAATCGTCTGATATAATTTGTAATATGGCTTGTCCATTCTTTAGGCTGCATTTTGTAAATTCAGCTAATTCACAAAACACCCCTCTTTTTGGATATATTTTTAAAATTCATAGATATTTTGTTTTGTTTTCCTACTGGCTCTCATTTATTTTTAACTGATGTTTATAGTTTGTTCTTATGTTGTACTGTTACTCCACAGTCCCAGGTTAGGAGAGGGTTGGCGCGCCTTCAAACTAGTTTAACCCGCCATATTTTGTATGTGTCTGTCCCAAGTCAGGAGCCTGTAACTCAGTGTTTGTCGTTTGTTCCTGTATATAATATTTGTTTTTGTTTCTTATTTCTTATTAAATACACGTCATCTGGATTATTGTGGATAGTTGAATCATTTATAATCATTTCACATTTTCTTATTTTATGATAAAGGAATCTTGAAGGTAAGTTAGTTATGAGTACGTGTTATTTATAATAGGTGTATATTGAGATACGATTTTGTCAAATTCAGAATGTACGGTTAATATGCCCTCATTATGTATGCATGTTTTGTTATAGTGATTCGATATAAAAGATGTCTAAAAAAAGACAGGGAAAACTTCCAAGACACATACAAACATGAACGCATAATGAGGTTTTACATAACCATATTGATCTTATTACATGTGGTCGAACACGCATTGGCAGATGATACAAAAACATTTTACATACAGGTTGTTAATCTAAAAGCTACTTTTCTGATTTGAACGAACAATGGATTATCGTCAATTTCACATTATCCAACTTATAAATATTAACAAAAAATAATCTTGTTCAACAGAAGAGTGTTACAGATTAGACGAGTGACATTAACCATGAAGTCAGTTTCTAACGGATATTATACGGAATTTGTTGAATTGTCTTTATTCTCCATTCTCCATTTTTAACAGTAACATACTTATGATCATCATTTTAAAAAAGGGCAAAATCTTCTTTGTGCATGTTTTGTTAAAGGTTTATTGTTGTTATATAACGCATCAAGTACTACATGAATTCATACAATCTTGGCTTATTTTGTTTTTGAGCGGTCCTGATGGCCTTAGTGGCCTTGCGCTGTTAACTGTTTTTTGCTATTGGTCAGTTTGTTGTCTCTTTGACACATTCTGCGTTTCCATTCTCAATTTTATTTTATTTTTAAGCAACTATATGCACAGGATTTTTTGTTTATACACCATTTTGATTTAGAAGAAAACCGAAATTGTTAGATAATACAAATTATAACACCATTACAAACACAATTCCATTGTAATATTCTTGTCATGGTTAGAAAATGCATAGAATAACACCATTACAAACTCAATCCCAATTCAATATTGTTGTACGTGTCTATAAATAAAACAAATCTATTTTATTTTTAGAAATTTACCTGTGATTATATAAATGTCATATAAAATACGTCACTTTTTTTAGGTTGATCCATTCATATGACGCGCAGTTTATTTTTCGTTTCTGGTGTCCTGGTGTACTGTCGTAAAATCATTGGAGGAGTCCGTTGTTATTCTGCGGTTTACATGTTGTAATGTACTATTACAGTATTTATTTATGTGTTTCTCTGTGCGGAGTGTTCTTGGGTTTGTTTGTACTGTATTCCTGTCACTAAGTGTTGTCATGTTAGCGGTATTTTTAACACTGCCATATTAGCGGGAGGTTTTGGCTAGCCATAAGACCAGGTTCAACCCTCTACTTTTTCTTAAAATGTCCCTTACAAAGTCAAGAATATTGTAGTTGTTATCTGCAGTCCGTTTCTATGTATGTTGACGGTTGCTTTTGTTATAGTTCTCTGTTTCTGTTGTTGTTTTCCTCTTATAGTTGATGTGTTTCCCTCGGTTCTAGTTTGTTTTCCGGATTTGTTTTTGCTTAATAGAATTTGACTATTAAACAGCGGTTTACTACTGTTGTCTTTATTTATTATGATAAACAAAAGCTTCGGACTGTCATAATGTATGCAGTGTATGAATCTTGAAGATAACGATGAGGTTTTTTTTTTTAACAATTACTGCTACTTAAGGATTTTCATTTATTTTTCGAATTGTTTTATTATTCAAGCCTTTTGATAGCAAACACACAATTAATACTTTCATTTTACCCTGACGAAAGTCAATGTAGTTGTATATACATGTTTTGGATGATTTTGAGATTCCTCGAAATTACGATGTTGCCATGGAAACTGATCATAAAAACAAAATTTTCAAAGTTCTCTAAACTTTATGAAACTTTACACAAATGTTGACTGGCAATTGTAGATGTGGAATTTAACTTTGCAATTTCCAAAATGGCTGCCGTTACCATGGAAACAAGGCGAAAATTTTCAAAATGCTCGAATCTTAATAAAACTTTACAGAAATGTTAAACACCATACGTCGATGTGTCATTTGACTTTTGAATTTTCAAAATGACCACCGTTTGCCATGGAAACAGCAATATTGTTTATAATTGAAAAACGCGCCTTACGATATCAAAACTAACAGACAGATCTGTTGTCATGCATATATCTGCATTCACTGTTTGAAAATTTCAAAATGGCTGCCATTTAGTATCAATTGGCAGACCAGGGTGACATCTGCTATTGCTTGCATTGGCAATTCTAGTTATATTTATATTTGGTGGTCATCCTATGTTTACCTGTTGTACATTAATAGTCTTAATGCTGATTGGATCTTAAAAAAAGAATATTGACTATTCTATCTTAGCAAGTTTTTCCAACGGAATATGGTACACTTACGTGTACACATGTAGAATATTCATATACTTACATGTACACTTACACATGTAGAATATTCACCCCTCTTTTAAAAACAACGTCAGGAATAAACACACTAGTTATAATTCATTCCTAGAGTTTCGGATAAAGCGAATCCCCTTTCATCCATGCGTTAATACAGATACGATGCATATCGTCATTACGGAATATTACTGTCCTAAAGTATCTATATTAACTAAGGATGTTAAATATTCCATGAAATAACGAGAACCTACTGTAGTGTTTTTATCGCATATTTGTTTTCTTCTGTTGTGAATTAAAGTAATGACTTCGCTTTATTAAAAATTCTAGACACCATTTGTTTACGATTTAGATAAGATAGAATGATCGCGACTATGTAAAACTGTAGGCTATTGTCATGGCTTTACCCCGTTTAGTGTATTGTAGTATAGCTTTTAATGAAATAACTATGACAATTATCGTAACATTTTTTTCAGCTTTTTCAGGAAAACTTTTGTATTCAAATGACACTTCAATTATGGAATTTGATATTGATACACGCAATTTGACTGTACTGGTTGAGCAGGGAAGTAGTGTGTATGGCATGGACTATGATTACAAAAACAGATTCATTTATTTTCCAAGATACAATATCTATGACATCGCTCGGTATGTAAACGTTTATTCTGGTACGTCAATATGAAGGGTAACATCGAATGAAAGTGGTAACATCACGTATAAAGATAAAAACAACATTTCTATCAAATATTTTAAGACTTCTTCCGATGTTACATATGGGCATCTCCCTTCTCATCTAACCCAAAAAAGAACGAACAATGTTACCTCAAAATAGGAGACAATTTTAGATCAATCTGTAAAATTCTACATACAATTCTAAAAAATTGTAAATTAATTCGATTCAATTAGTGATACAGATTTTATCAGTCTTATGTCATGAAAGATTTCTTTTAAAAACATCAAAAACCATTGCTAATAGAATTATTAATATCACATATTTCTGACATTTGAACGTATCATTGAAACATTGTTTGGCTTTCAGTAGCTTCAATCAGAGTTTGTCTACAGATCCCGAAGGGGTTTGTATAGAAACTACATCATCTTTTGTTCATGTTTTGTAATCATATTTCAAACACGATTTTACATAAATAAGCTTGTGCTATATTCTTTATAAACATTCTGCAAAAAGGTAAGCTTGAGAATGCTCCAAACGCAATTTGCTATAAAATTAATATTTTCAAGGGCATATGTCTTACACATACACATGTACAAGTATAATATAATTCAGCGGATGAAAGCAAAGTTTAAATACAAGAATATTTCTTAAAACAAGTACACAGTGTAGATCAAAGCTGTATTGGATACAAATGCAGAAACAAAAAACCGAAGAATATTTTAGTGAACAATTGGTTACCCGTAAGATACTAAACTAAATGATTAAACAAGATTTATTATGAAAAAAAAAATGTTTTTATTTAACCATGTGCATATAGAACAAAAGGAAAAACGTTAATTTCGTAGTAGTCATTTATTGTTACAATATCGCAATTGAGCAGTAACAAAACGATTATACATTTTTGAATATAATCGTAAATTTTGATATCAAGTTTTAAAAAGGACATCTGTAAATGTTTAAGGTGAATGTAGAACAATATAATTGTTTACAGGTTTACTGTATGTCTACATGTATTGTTCAACATAGCCGTAGCGTGTTGTTTAGTTTGGTTTTTTAGAAAGTTAAATTGTCATTCACAATTTTTCTGTCGCACAACTACTCTGCAATGCAATAGTTAATTACAATCAAAATATTCCTCAAAGTTACTTTTTTTCTATAAATCGAACAGATTACATGAAATATTGTGATAAAAAACTTTAAAACTGTATTTTTGTAGTATCATTTAGTTGTATTAAAAGAAATGACATAATGAAATATTCGCGACTGCAGCAGATACAGTATCATCCGGATTTATCAAAATGTCTTTTTATAAAATCGGACACATTAAACTTTGAGAATACGTAATTTGTAGTTAAAAGAGTGATAATCATATCTGTAAACGGAGCCTTTTTTCAAAGTAACTTTGATTATCCAGCACATTCAAAAGATTTCTTTATCTTAAAATACCACTATCATTATCAACATCATGCGGATTTAAATATGATAGGTTTCTTCTTTTATTTAAAAGTTGGAACCTCATAGTGTCCAGAGGCATTAGCCAACTCACATTTGTTTATCATTTTATTATAGGTCTGACGACAATGAAGACGTTGTTGGCTATTTTGTAACCAAAAAAAAAATACAAACCACTTTCCGACGATATTTAACATGTTTTTTAAGTCCAGACATCGTTTAAATAGAGATTTTTCATAAAGTTACATTTTAAATATTTCACGTTTTTTTTTGAAATAAAACAAGTAGACTGTACATGACAGCTATCCCATTTAACTTGAAAAAAGTCTCAGCGCATACATTTAGGTATGTTTGATATCTCAACCTACAACTGACAGACAGGGTGTGTTGCAAAACTGAAAATCTTCACAAAAGAAATGACTTCTAGTTTATCATTATTACCTGTTATAATGTAGTGTTCAAGTTTGCAATTCGATATAATTAATGCATAAAGGAAGCTACCGAACGAAGAGGCTATTCAATTGATCTCGTAACTTCATTATCTAATTAATCTTTTGCATTCTTTGTCTGGTTTTGTGCAGTAATTTTAATTTAACATCGGCATGCTTTACTATGGTGTTGTTTGTCTTTTTTTAATTATAGGTTCTGATTTTCTTGGGTATCTTATCATTTATCAAGGCGTCTGACTACGTGTTTAGACATTACTAATGTTATAAAATTTTCAGGAAAAATACATGTTTTTTTTTAAATCCTTGAAGCACAAATATCAGGCTTGCGACATTGCGACATTGCCAATTGTAGCAAAGATTTGTATAGATTATGTTTTTCATTGCAACAATTGGAAATTCATGGGGAAAAGGACTAACACATTTATAAATACTAGTACGTTAGTTTATTAATGTCTTATTTTAGAAAACTTGATCCGTTAATCTATTGTTTACATTGTACCTTTCCGGAGCATCTAAAATCACCTCCGGTTTTTTGGATGGGTCGAGTTGCTTAGTCTGTAGTTTTAGATGTTGTGCTTTGTATGCAGACTGTCTTTTGGTAATTTTATGTCATGGCATTTTTAGTTTGTTTTTCGACTTTTGAGTTTGAATATCACTTTAGTATCTTTCTCCTCTCTTTCACTGTGTATTAACAATTTGTCGTCATGTATCAAATGTTTAGGGTATTGGGTTATCCACGAATTTCATTGTCCAACAAAATATGTTTCCTCTAGACTTTACGCTTTGTGTAATATGTCTAAAGCAATAAATCAATTGTCAACTTAATTTTTATTTTTCAATCATACGACAATAACAATCCACAGTCAGATATCTTTCATACCGATATATATTGATCAGCATTTTCCGAACAGCATCGTTCTTATTTCTTGTTGAGCTTTTGTAGCATTTGATGGAAACAAATATTATCTGTATGCAGTGGTACGACTGCAACTGATGTTACAGTTGGGTGCAGACCAAGCATAACATAAAGTAAAAGCACGTTAACGCCGCGTGCACATATTTCATCTGTCAACTCCAATTTTCGCGTTTACCAGTAAACGCGCGTTTTCTACAATTGCGTTAACGCGGTCAAAATGAAAATATCAAATGTCTACTCGAGTAAACGCGCGTTTACTCTGTGTCCGTTTAGTCAGTAGTAAACGGGCGTTTAGTACAGATTTTACATCTTTACCTGTACGTGTACTTACAAAACACGCGTTTACTATTCCCGTTAACTATTTGTGGAAATTATAAATATACTTTTTTTCTGGCTTATTCATAAATTGCAAATGATATATAAATAAAGTATCTCTAACCAAATATTTTCAGAAATTATTTGGATAAGCAGATACTGCAAAACATAAAAAAAAGTTTTATATGCTAACAACAATATTCATTACGGTAGATTTAGCTAGGCAATGTTTAAAGACTTGAAATAAAACAGACGACACCAAATGATCTATAATGTTTTGTTTTCATACAATACACTTATTTTAAAATATTTGCCGTAGTTCATGGTTTACTGAATTTAAAAATGATTTACTTGATCGACATTTATACGATGTATAATGTCAATTTTATTAAATCAGTTCATCCCTGCAGACATAAGGAATTGTTTTTAAAAACAAAAAATCGTCGAAATAATTCCCTCCCTTTTATGTCATACAATCCATCCAAAGGTACAAAAAGAGAATTCTTCCTGCCAGTACAACGGTACAAGCTTTAATTATATATATAAAAAAAAAATTGCAATTTTTATTTTTGTAAACGCGGAAATAAACGCCAATTTACTATGAACAAAATTAGAAGACGCGCCTTTTTCACGTTAATGCGGAAGTAAACGTGAAAGTAAACGCCCGTTTACTTTTTATGTTTACTAAAATTTTGGAGTAAACGCAGACTTAACGCGGCGTATACATAAAATGCACGCGAGTAAACGCTGCGTTAACTTTTTTCTGCGCGTCTACATGTTATGCTTGGTCTGCACCCAACTTTAAGTTTGATCCGTATGAAAAAATATGTAAGTAGAACTCAAATAGAACACATGTATTTTAATTCCAAATACGTTTATCTGATTAATCTATTGTAAAGTATTGTTTACATGTCTTTAATCAGTAAGTTAACATTTTATAAGAATTGTTTTGAAGTTTGTCATGTTGATATATATATATATATCTATATATATGTTTTATTTAGTCACCAAACAATGATTTTGATTTGCAGACTTTTAGGGAATATTCATACAAAATCGGTCATTTAACAGTATTGAAAATTATTATAAGTTTTAAAACTTTGTCACCCAATAATGACAACAGTTCATAAAACATAACAAAAAATAAACTCGAAATAATACTTGCTCTTTTCTTGTTGTTGTACTTTTACATTTTAGACATCTATTGGATATTGTCCTAACCAATTTAGGGTCAAACTCTCCTTGTATCTGTTTTAAATGACCATCAATTCGCCATTGAATATTATTTACATTGTTCCCTAATATGACGAAACAGATTTGATACATTTTGTATGTAAAATACTACATCAGTATAGTTTATGAAACTATGTAATTTCGGAAACTTTTATAATTTATATAGATTTCCGTATCCCTCAGAGAACAGAACATTACAGACAATTGTCCAGACAGAGCAATATCCAATAGGAATAGCTGTCGATTCAGCAAATGGTCATATCTACTGGACTGATATTAGTACACATGAACTCTCAAGATGCGTTCTAGACGGAACCAATGTGACTATCATATCTACTATAAGTAATTCTTGGGCGATACGACTTGACGTTACAAAGGGGTAATATGTTTTAGCTATAAAGTGAGCAAGAAAATAATATTTTTGTAAACCGAACCAACTTTGTTGTTTTTCCAGTTACATGTCAAGAAAGCAATTTATGCACTATTCCTAACTATATGTGTGAAAGGTTATATATTTTTTGTAAATCATTTACAAATTATGTAACCACAAAGTTTGTCATTGAAATGCATTAACAATTATTCATTTCTGTCGGAAGTTACTGAACACGAATCACCCATTCTTACAGGTATAACAAGCCTCATTCACGGTATATCGACAACCTAAACTGTATGTTCTTAGGATATTTGTCGATTTGCAAGGGTTGAAAGATGGCACGATTTTATGTTTCATTAAAAGACGACGAAATGGCATATATTGCGTTGTTTTGAATAAGGCCGTTATGACAACAACTGATCTACAGGCTCATAGCTTGGGACGGGCAAATACAAATTGTGGATGGATTTGTGAACTTTCAACCCTCCCTTAGCCTAGTTCTGTTGATTTTAGTAGGTCAATATAATAGTTTAAAGTTTCCTTAGTGTTTATTTTATTTTTGTTTTGTGTAACATTAAGGACTTTCTTTTTTTGTAAAAAGTATTGCACTTTTCTGTATGAATTTTTTTTTTATAATTGTTTTTTGTGTTCTTTTGTTTTTGGTTGTTTTGTGTCTACAGTTGTTTGGTATATGTTGTACTTACATTATGCAGTTTTAAGTTCAAATCAATTATGAAGTGGAGGAGCATTTGATAACAAATAAATCATTATGTGCGAAATATTGCCATCTACAATCGATACCATTGGGTAGAAAACATAAAAATGAAGATGTAAAAATAATTTCTTTTATCGATGCATTCGAATTTTAATGTCCTAGTATATACTACTAGATGAATTTAAAACCAACAGATGTTAGGCGAATATTAGTGAATCATATATCAGTGGAACTACAAGCATATTTTGATATGTGCAACAAGTTTTACTTGGACCTTTGAACTTCTTGTATTTTGAATACTAAAGACAAAAAACCCAAACATTACGAATTGATCTATTTTTGAAAATGATGATTTTGGATGTTAATATCGGTCATTTAGATTATTTACGTTGTTCTAATTGATACGTATGCTTGCACTATATACCATTTGTTCCCTTAAACCAATGATATTCACTCGACATTTACGTATATCAAAATAATCGTATATGATAAGCCATTTTAGTTTTAACATGCATATAATTATATGTATATTGGTGGAAACAGTGACATCTCCAATGACGTGTGTGCACTGAAATGACCATACTGTATTTGTCAAATCATGATAAAAAAAAACAAGGATGGACTGAGATATGCAAACATGGTCTTGATGATTTATACATGTTGCATTTGACAGTAAAACTTGTGCCTCAGAGCATCGTCTGTTTTGTTGTGCAGTATGTATAAACTAGCATTCTAATATGACGTGCTGCTTTCGCTTCAGAATTGTATATTTTAATGGCTGTTACTATTTACCCCCTACGCAAATCAAAAGATTCGTAACCTATGTACAAACACTATGTGGATTTCGAAGTGTTCAAATTGAAATTGAAAAAAGAAACTACAAAACCGCAATTCCTATTCTAGCAAAACAATAAGAATTAATGCATAAGATCTAAAAAAATGTATAAAATAAAAATTTAAATTAAATTCTGCGAAATTTCATGAATGATCTTGGTGCATTCACGACTTGTCAAAACATGACGTCATACGAATGAAAATTCTTAATTTGAAGATTATTCCGTTACGTCTACGCTCTAAATTCAGATAATATCGCATTAACATGGAGTTTTGAGGTAGGTGTTGTTTCATTTTGTATTCGATAGCATCATTCGCCCATTCATGGATTTCAGCAAGTCAACATGGCAGCCCATTCCTTAGTTATGACATGTCAACTATGGATTTGACAGTAAATAGTAGCCAACGTTTGGGTTAAGAATTATAAGGATTGAACACATTTTTCTAGTGGTTATGTAAGAAATAATTAATGCAAGCCTTAGATTTATTTGAAATTATTACCTTTTATCATACAGGGGGTACAATAGAACAGCCATACACACGGCAATCTTATCTTTTTCAAATTACCGTATTTGTCTCATTAGAATCGAAAATATTAATGCAAGCCATAGATTTGTTATCATTTTAACATGGCCTGTGCCGTAATATTTGTTAATCTTACCCCTCGCTAACGCTCGAGATAAAATTCGAATACAACGGCCCAGGCCATGTGAAAACTTCCAAAAAAATTATGGCTTGCATGAATTATGTCTTAAATTACAACCGATATGAATATGATGCTGAAATACAATGTCTTTTTACGGGAGAGTGTCACGCTTCTGTTGACCATGAACCATTGCAACATCCACTTTAGAGGTCAATAGGTTCATCGTTGCAAAGAAAACAAACCATTAAGTCTAATTCAGTATAGCATTTAGGTTGAAACACTTCAAATATACAGCCGTTTATCCCAGTCGACCCACAACAATAACCTATCTATTGGTTTATTTTAAATATGTTTACGTGCACAAAATACTGGGTTTTTTTAACACAAAATGAAAACAACAATCAATCATCCTTGAAATTGACAAATTTAAGGAACCAACAAAGGCATACATCTCCATCTTCATGGAGGAGCGGTAGCCGCTCTCTTAATTGTTTATTAATAAAGTAGGGACGCATGCATACACATAAACACACTCAACCTGAAACTTTAATTTCCTAAATTTGTAATACTTTCATTTTTTATCAGGTGGATGTATATTGCTGAATACAATTTAGGAATATTTAAGTCCAGATTCAATTTAGAGGAAAAACAGACGATAGTTAGCTTTACATCAGGAGGTGCTTATTGCATGGATATAGGTACGTTGTCAATAGTTATTTATTTTTTTTTGTAATGTTGTTAAAAATGTCACTCTTTGTCATTTTTTAATTTACAAAATACTATAGCTATATTCTTAATTTTGGATAACTATGTGCCAACACTGTAATGATAAGACTTCCTATTTGTACAAAGACGGAAAACAGGAGAGAATACAACAGAAGGTGTAATACCACCAAATCATAGTACGTCACATCCGGTTGCATACGAAAATAGGTCGAAAAAAAATATTCCCTTGAATTTGACAGTTGTAGGTAATTGATCCTACATTTCATTGCAGTAAAACATTTCTGAGTCATAAACATATATCTTGGGTATTTCAAAGCACCATTATTTCTTTATTTGGGGTTTCTATAGAATATTTTGGAAACTTGAGGTTACATGGTTACTAAAGCTTGTACACAGGTTAAAAAAGGGGGAAAATTTGATTGGTTAACTTCCAGTGATGGTTATTTTCTTATATGCAATGAAATGTTATGTGAATTTTTTTCTATAGTACTGGACAGGATAAAACTTTACTCATGCCAAGTATTTCTTTATTTGAAACAAAGATAAATTCTGCACAATTTTTTGAAAAGTGCAAATTTAACAAAGACTAATAGGGGAAAATCAATGGTGGTATTACACCTAATATGGGAAGCTGAACATGCACTTTTGACCTTGTGAGTACTCTCATGTGTTAAAATTTCTTGCTATTTAAGTGAAATATTACAAATAATGAAATATTCTGAGTGGATTGAGTCTCCAAAATACATTTTATGAGAAAATTTCCTTGAAATAGGACTTTGCGATGAATATTAGTTGACAGAACAAGCCATACTTAGAGTCTTGGGGAGCTTTTTCTCCTTATTTCTTATATTCTGCTATACTAGAAAATTTTTCCTAAGAAATACTTTAATAAATATATAGTTTTAAGTAAATGAAATTATTTTTAAAGCAGTAACAACAAATTATTCACCAAAAGAGAAGTTTTTTATGTCCCTCTCTGGAACGCAGCATAAATTTAAGTTTTACGCAAGGACTTATTGAAACCTCCTTGGAGACAGTAAACTTTTATACGGATAGTTCAAGCAGCTTGAATACTTCAATTAATCATTTATAATAACATTTCTATCATAAATGAGTGAAAGTTACCCCAAAATTTTTATTTATTGGCCTAAAAAGTAGAAATTTTGAGGAAATGAGAGGTATAAATGGACCAAAAGAGACTTTATAAGGAAGAATAAGAGGTCCATTAGTAGTATTTATCATCCTAAAGTCATCTTTTGTATCATATTCAACTGTTTGTAGGCAGATGAGATAAATATTTGATCATTTATTGGTCCACACTATATTCTATCATGATGCGGCTTGGTTTGAATTTTTCGAAGAAATTTTGCTCGAATCGCTGTAGATGTCGTCTTACATTATACTAGATTTTTCTCAAACTATTGAACTGATTATGACAAAACTTGACAGGAATGCTTGAAATAACCAGTATTACAAAGGAAAAAAGTCACATTCAGTTTATTCAACAAAAAAGTCTTCTTTAGGTGTAATACCACCAAATCATAGTACGTCACATCCGGTTGCATACGAAAATAGGTCGAAAAAAAATATTCCCTTGAATTTGACAGTTGTAGGTAATTGATCCTACATTGCATTGCAGTAAAACATTTCTGAGTCATAAACATATATCTTGGGTATTTCAAAGCACCATTATTTCTTTATTTGGGGTTTCTATAGAATATTTTGGAAACTTGAGGTTACATGGTTACTAAAGCTTGTACACAGGTTAAAAAAGGGGGAAAATTTGATTGGTTAACTTCCAGTGATGGTTATTTTCTTATATGCAATGAAATGTTATGTGAAATTTTTTCTATAGTACTGGACAGGATAAAACTTTACTCATGCCAAGTATTTCTTTATTTGAAACAAAGATAAATTCTGCACAATTTTTTGAAAAGTGCAAATTTAACAAAGACTAATAGGGGAAAATCAATGGTGGTATTACACCAGAAGGACATACAGCTGTTCTTATGATTAAAACCTTGTCAGCTATCTAGAAATTTATTTTTGTAAGAAGATATCATTATAAACAGTTCAGTAAGATGACAATCAACAACCCAAAGTAATGTATGAGGGTTTCTTAGAAAGAAATAGCATTTCTATTGTATTGGGTAGTAAGGGTTATGTCGTCTTAACTAATAAAAAAGATCGTTTTTTAATTAGAATATATATTTGCCGTAATCCACAGATATTTTTTCCTGTAGATCAGAATTCATATAAGCCTAAAACATTGGAAACTTTTCGTAGATCTTGCGTTAAGGTTTGAAACTTTAGAAAAAAAAAATGGACTAATACAATGTATAAGAAACTATAAATATTCTAAAAAAAAATTCTCAGACAAAAATGTCAGATTTATCTTAATCATGTTAAATTGCACATTTTTAGGTTGTTATTATAGGCTTTCAAATGTGATATTAAATGGTCCATTTGAAAAGGCTAAAATATAGGCCTCAAAACTTAGCTTATGTTAATATGTCCAAATACCTGTCAATGTATTTTTTGTTGTTTGCATGCATATGATTCTTCAGTAATATATTTATTGACCACATGCATCAAAGTCAAAGTAGCAAGTAGGCTACCTGTATGAACTGCATTATAATATTGAGTGGTGAAAAGCAATTAAACATGTTTTCACACATTGAAACTTAACTCTTTTGGAATGCTCATAGCATGACAGCTCTGGCGATGACGATATCTATGTATCAATTCTTGTAACCACTATCCCGTCCTCGTTTTCTCGATTGAGACCTACCAAATTTTGACTTATTACATGGTTTGTACTTACACGAACAACATGAACTGTGCCAAATGTAGAGCAGGATCTGCTTACCCTTCCGGGGCACCCGATATCACGCCTGGTTTGTTAAGAGATATGTGTTACTCAGTAATTAGTTGTCCATGTTTTGTGTACTGATGTTGTCGATTTTAGTTTTTTTGCCATGGCATTCCCCAGTTGTCAGTTTGATTTCGACTAATGCGTTTGAATACCCCTTTGGTATTTTTCGCCTTTCTGATAAAGCAGAATATATTCTGATCAAAAAGGAAAACATTAAAAGGCTTTAGTCGTTAGTCTGCATCTTGAGCATAATGTACATGTCATGTATAATAAGCGTTTTGTCAATTTGGTAGGGTCCTTTTTAACGTTATTGCTTTACGATAGTGGTGAACTTTGTAAAAAAGGGGTAGAATGAACTTCAACAATATGATTACGTCAGCATTATAACCAGTCACAATAAATGTACACCATATGAAGCAAATAATGAGCTTTGTAGTTATATCAATATTCCACTAATGAATCCTTGATTCCTTAGTAAATATAGGTCCGACAATAGTAGTACTCTAAGCAACCTTGGGGGGGGGGGAATGCTAGTAATTATTACTGCAGTCCCATTGTTTGTCGGCTACTTACCTGTTGATAGACAGAGGGAGATGCATACCGGTAGAGAACAGATGTTCTAAAAGCATATAATATAATTTTCCCATATTTTTTTTTTTAATTCTCTATCATAAATAATTAACTATTTACCAAAAATGATATATTTTTTTTGGCGAATAAACAATGCAAATAATGCAATTTTATGCAACTTGCAGCATCAAAAATAGCAAGGTGACCCATACTTCATTTTCTTTTTATATATATTTAACAAAAGAATGGTAAACTTTATATTTTGGCAAAGTATAAGAAAATGTTATCTAAGGAAATACTTAGGGATGATCCACCTTAAAACCATTTCATCAAGGTTTTCTCCCTTTTTGTGCGCTTGTTGCATATAACTTATTAAGGTGTGTTGACTATATTTTGTCTCTATGAGAACATTGTGTAGTCACAGAAAAAAAAAAACATTGTCATATTAGTAAACGATCAGATATTTCAAATGCTGTGTCGTACATTAATGAACTTGGATGTATGCCTTCAACGTCACTAGACAAACTTTTTGAAGAAGTATGGTCTTGGTGTTAAAATGACTAATTTTCAAGGATAAGTATATTCCTGGTACAGAACATTCGAACTGAAGATCAGATGTGATTACTGGTTTCTAAGATTGGAAATTAAAACAATTAATAACATTTGAAATCATTTCTTTGTTCGTGATATTTATATGTTTGCTTCACGGTTTACCAGAATCGATCAGTCGTAAAGTATACACAAGATTTGTAAACAAATAACTGCAATACACTCGTATATTACTAATGTAAGAACGAATTATTATTGTTCCACCATTAGTTTCTCAAAATTGTAGACACTGATGGAAACAGACTGTATTGGATTAATGTCGATGGTGACATGAACTCAGCAAAAGTCGATGGCTCTGATGTTAAAACAATCCTTTCAACAAATGTTCATAGCAACTACTACGCTATCGGGGTTTTTGGTAGTCAAATATATTATGCCAATGAGTACCATCAGTTGTTATTGGTAACTAAAATACCAGGATCCAACCCGACTGTTCTTTATAACGATACCAGCGAAGTCCACAGTATATTTGTGTTTAATCAAGCAGGTATGCACATTATCAATTAAAATAAGTTGTTACGATAAGCAATTACAAAAAAACGACTTTGATTTACATTTTTTGTTATTCAATGTAGTAATATATTCAAGTATTATACAAACATGTTCAGAACTGTATTCATTTATTAATTGTCTGATGTGTTACCTTATATTTGAACAAAAAGGAAGCATTATAAATGGGTGTATACGTCGAAGGTCATCAATAATCTCGATTTTCAAAAAAAAAAAATAAAATATTCGTATTTAACTTTCACTTTCAAAATAAACCTTGTGAACTTTCTTTTAATGAGAATAAGTCTTTACGATTTACGCATTATGTAATTTAGTATAAAACAGATGCTAACATTTAAAAAAAAACCACCTCACTGGTATGTTTTGTGACAAGTAAGAAAATAAAATGTTGAACACACATTCTCATTAAATTGAAATATCCATGTATATTATTCGTTACTATATCATTGCAAAGACGTATACTACACAATTTATAAAAATTCTGAGTTTAAAGTCACTAAACGCGTAAATTAAAGCATACATGTTTTGGGTGTTTTGAAGATGTGTCAATTAATGGGATGAACGTCTATGAAAGCAATCCAGCATCACGCTTGACGTAAAAAAACAATCATTTCCAAGACCTTTCTCCTTTGCAATCATTTGTGAAGTGTCATTGCTAAAACACCAGTATTTAGAATTATAATTAAAGTCAATCCTGCAAATATTTCATTTTATTGCATTACATTTTGTTTTCCAATTTCTAAAGTCAGTTGATGATGCATCATTGTCCTAAAATGGTAGTTGTTGTTTATTTCGAATTGCTTTGCATTATTTCATATTCAGCTTTTACTTAGTACATAAATAGCTTGTTGTTCTAATCCACCAAGTGTACCCGTTTATTTTTTTCCTAACGTTACCTTCATTGTGTTGCATGTATTTTGTGAATGTTACCATTTTATTATATATATTTACATTGTCTTCACAGATAAACACATTTTAGCAAAGACATTTTTGTTTATCTGAATACATAAATTTGTTTTATTTTTTTACATGTTTTCAACCTTATTTCATTATTACTAAATATATGTTTTTTAATAAAAAAAACCTGTGTAATACATGTTACTATTGTATCACCGTTTGATTATTATAATACAGTGATTTTTATGTTTAAGACATATATTCCTATTAATGAATTTATACGAAACAAAACACGAGGTAAGTAATTTAGCTTTTAAATCTAAATCAATGAACTGTACTATTTAGCCCTATTTGTATGAATATAAAAAAGATGTGGTATGATTGTGAAAGAGTTTATGATTTGAACTTTCTGCTAAAAAACAAATGACGAAGAAGTTACTCTTTTCTAACTGTAATATTATTTTGTTTTTGAAACTAATTTAACTCACCTAATTCCGTTGTTATTATCATTTTATTTCCTTCTATTTACAAATATACTTTCTAAAGTCGTGTACCACGCGTACAATTTAAAAACTGAACAAAACTCTGAGAGATACATCAATACTGTTTGTTTTCCATAGAAAATAGAACTCACCTGAGTATGATCCATCGACGGCAATACAGGACGGACTTAAAGAGGCAGCGAGTAAATATGGGTAAATTGTTTTATAATACGGAGTTGTACCACCTACATTTTTGTTAATTTTTTCATCACGCTACCACCTCTGATAAACTACTATAATTGTAGTTTATTTGTTCTTTTAATCAATGAAAACAAATGGAGATTGATAAGGTAAAACACAAATGACTTACTAAATCAATAGTGAAATGTGAATAAATGAAATGAATGCGCATGTTCCGAGCAAACTAATTTAGCACTTATAAACAAAGAGTGGTCAACACAATACAACTGAAAAGAAACCTTTTGAAAAACGCAAGACATCGACATTTAGCATGTCGAAGTCTTGGTGCTGTCATCAGTAAATGGTACATATATACAGACTTTATTTAAAGACCGCCTGATTTATAAATTCAAATAAAGCAAAAACAAATGATAATTTTAATTATTTGGCAACAATTCAATTGTTTGTGACAAATAGGACTTAATGATCGGTAAAGCACCAATTTTATTTATTCAGCTTTTGGCTCCTATATGTTGTCGGTTTTTTTCTTTATCTTAAAACTGACATTATGACATGTAACAGTAATTATTGTACTGTATGTACATAACTTCAGGTATTTAAGTAAGAATTTCATTTCTCTTGAGGTCTTTTTTCTGTCTGAAACATGTCAAATTATGTACAGATATATTCTGGGCATTATAGAAGATGGTGTAATCATGACTTGTTATAGTTGTTCACAGTTATTTGGATTTTTTTTGTTCATCAACCATGTTAACATATTTTGAAAAGTGACTTGTTTTTTTGTTTTTTTTTTTTGTTGGTTTAGTGCATATGTTGCTCAAATGTTTGTTTCCGAGCAGACTTACAAAAATGCAAATGTTAATAACAGCCAACCTTCAAAATCTACATTGGATATATTTAGCACTTTTATTTGCCTATGTATGTAAAAACACTCATAATTTGTTCGCAATATGCATAACATAGATAACATATAGCGTGTGTTGATTAAAATGGATGTATACTTTTTTTTTCCACTTACAGGTGAACTATAGGTAGAATGATGCATTTAATTCAAATGACAAGCAACACTCAAATTATTGATTAAAAGGTAAATATTACTGTTGATTGAATATTGTTAACACGTAGTACATGTACAGCTGACATTCAAGTGGTTTGCTAAATGCAATAAACCAAGATATATGCACAGGAATATGTATGCCTGCTATATGTTGAATTAATACACATACAAGGCATACATTTGTCAAGTTTGTGTAAATATTTTGATATTATATTTCAATGTATGATTTATGAACATTATAGATTCGCAAAATGCATCTTTCTAGATTAACATTCATTAATGTTAATAAAGACATCCTTGATCATGTTCAGTTCAGTGCATTACATAATTTGAATACAACTATGCATGTCAATTACATATATTTCGTTTTGAATGCGTGTCACTATATTTAAGGATGCTTGACTGATCGTATACATTGTTGGTAATGTTTTGATGCCGATATTTATCTATTGGAACATGGTCAGAATTTTGTCAAACTTTACATCGTAAGTTCATATCAACAGTAATATTGTTATCATTGTAATCAGCCCAGATTCACTTAACTTTAACAATTGAAATGCATACTATCACCAAGTCTTGTATAGTTGGACAGTATCTCCAAAGCAATCATTATCGTTTGAAATATACTATATTTCAGGGATAGTTTACGTAATCGAGTGATCGTTTTGTTTCTTTGCATATAAACTCGTTGCACTGAATATTTTACAGTCCCTAACAACTGTTGAATCATGTCAACTTCGAGCAATACAACCAACTAACAGTGTGTGAAATACATTTATTAATCGTTGAAATAAAAGGAGAAAAAAACCAGGTCATTGTTTGATAACAACTAGATTTAAATTGCATAAATTCTCTGTATTACAAATGCATACCCCTCTATACCGAAATGAAACACGATGTAAACATGTATGTTGCAATTGCCAATTTGTCATACTTAAATCAATTTTGATTTTTTTATGTACTTTGGATTCATTATTATTCGTTGGATACCAATTTTCGTGGGTTTCGTGGGTACAGGTGAACCACGAATATACATATTCAACGAAATACAAATTTCTATAAATTTGTATCCAGACTTTGGCAGAACCACGAAATCACATATCCACGAAAATGCAAGGTTTCCGCAATCCATGAAAATTGGTGTCCACGAAAATAAATGAATCCACAGTATATAAAATGTCATAAAAATCGGCAAATCCGAATTCCGCATATTATATTTATTCCTGGCATATAGACTTTTGATATAGTCGATAATCGTGAAAATATTTGTTGTCATAATGTTTCAATTTATTCATGTTTGAGAAATTTACATTATCATTGTTACTCAATATAAATTTCTCGAGGACTTTTGACAAATACTAGAGATTGACAGTGATATTGTACATACAGTCCGTTTTTTTTTCAGATGAAGCTGAATGGTCAAAATAATGCAAAAAAGAGTTGCTGACTCCCTTAAGTTATACTATGTCAACGAAAGACAGTTTTAAACATTTTGATTGCCTTGAATTATATTGCAGAAAAAAATTAAGTGGGAATATAACATGCATATGGGGAAAAATAGCATATCTGAAAGTACTTGAAATAATAATAGGATAAGGCGTTATCGTAACTGCGTAAGTCGCAATCAAGGGTGAACTGAATATATATGAATTATACAATCATCTACAGTGTAGATAATATACCCCTGCAATTTCAGAAAACAACAATACATTTCCTTAGAATTAACCATTCCGGTAGTTTAATTGCATGTCCTATAGTAGAAAAAAACAACAACATGGATGATATGTCGCCCAGGATAACACAAAATCGATGGGATGTTGTAAAGGAAACATCAACTCCGAAAGAAATAATTGACCCTACGTTCAATTTGAGAGATGTCATGACAAACGAACATGTTTCAGTCTTCGGGTTGCTCTTTGTGCTACAAAAACTCAGACAAGTTTATTTATAGTCGGCCCTTGTACTGTATAACTTTCAGATCAATTAGAATTAGACATGCATTAAATCTGTCATACTATAAAATTAATTTTGCTGGAATATTTATATTTGAAATAGCAAATGAACGGATTATCATTTCACTTAAATAGTAAATGAAATTATCTATCAATATTCCCGATGATCTTGGATACTTATATTTAATATAGCGAGATAGAAGGCTGTCATTTTTCACTGAAGTAGTAAATAGAATTATTAAATTACCATGTACTTTTGAAAATCATTTGAACACGAAAATCATGTTTGTTTCCACACAGATACACGTTAACAATAGCACGTGTTTTTTTAATCTTTATAAAACAAATCATATCTGCAATTTGTAACACCAAGATGCATTATGCAAGTAAAACTAAAACTGTAAACATTTCGAAAATATCAACTGGCATTGCTGCAACAAGTCAATTTTAGTTGAAAATATCTTGAACTTTAAAGGCATTTAGAGAATATCAACAATCACAGATTAATACATTTTGATAAAATACAATTCCAAAAGTTGTTTGAGCGGTTTTAAGTCTGTTATTTAAAACTCAATTTTGTTATTTTAATCACACATAGCGCATAGATGAATGGCAGTTTTGGCGTCTGCAAAGTTCTTCTTTGGTTGAAAAATGATAGAACTATTTTAGACATATTGCACTTCTATGGCAATAATGCACATTATCAGAATAATATGAAACTGCACATGAAAGCAAAAAAGGTGCTACTCCTACCGTCGTTTTCCTATTCATGTTTGCAAGATTAAACACAACAACATTAGTCCTATTAATCTAATTTCAAATTCACATTCATGTATACGTTGTATACAGTTTTAATATGAGTTTTTACGTTTATTGTAATTAATCGTCTAAACTATAACGGTGTTGCTTTTTTTTTTTTTTTATCTTTTTGTCACATTTGATTAGATTATAACTTGTGTTTAGGTTATACATCGTAAGTTTGATTAATACATTTCTAAACAGCATATTTTGTTTATTTTAAAGTAATGGAAATCGTTATCTCACTACGTAATGTGTTTTTCATAGCTTTGTCGAACACTTTCGGTATATCTTTTGATAAGTGCATGTATCTACCTCATCCATAGCTCTGATTGAATTCCTAATTTGGATATACTATTGTCTCTTTTGATTCTATGAGCTGTTTGTAAAAGCCTTTGGACTTCAATAACGAGCAATACCCATAGAACTACAAAAGTCCGCGACATGAAAAAAATGCTAAACAACTCAATTGAAAAACAACGGCTTGATTTATGAGAAAAAAATCAACCACAAATAAATATGACAGCAACTTACCAACATACCACTAAATTACAGCCTCTTGACTTTCGGCATAAATATATAGAATGTTACGGGTTTAACATGCTTGAGACAATAAATATCAAACCTCAACTGAAAGGATATTAATAGCTCTATGTAATCGGAAGACCTTCAACAATAATTAAAACCAAAATTGTGTATAGTCAGCTTTAAGTCTCCGAAATGACATATATGAAAACATTCAAACAAGAAAGCTAACGGCCCGCTTAATGACAAACACATGATAAATATAACTCACAGCTAGAAACGACACTGCAAAATGGTCATGACATTTAACAAACACATAACGAATATAGCGAGGTTAATCATGATTGTGAGCACGCAATCCTTCATCTAATCTGGGACGGTCGTAAATCACCACAAATTTAGAACAAGCTGTTCAAATCTGTAGGATATAGCTTAACATGCCAAGTTGATACGCAGCACAACAAAAAATATACTCAACTAACATTAAAACAATAGAAAAACAGTACCGACCTAAGAGTTATTGCAGTTACTGACAACGAGTTAACAGTAACAACATATATTCTCCATGAATTAAGCATTAATCTGACAAAATATAAGTACATAGTATTCGTAAGTGATAATAAGTTCATATGCCCTTATTTGCATTAATACGATTCCTACATAACTGTTTCTCTCAGTCAAAAATTATGAATCTAACACTTAACATTTTGTATTTGATTTGATAACATTTAAAAAAATGTCAATGGCGTCATAGTTTTCAATTCATACGACGATATGTTGCTGTGGTTAAATGGAAGTATTTAAACGTTTTAGAAACATCGTATTTCCCTGTGATATGCAATTGATCCGACATAACTTCCGTGTTGTATCTGCCTTAGTTTGATGTACAGTACATTTAAATAGAGAATATTTTAATAATACACCGTCGTTTGGCAATCTAGTTATGTGAATTGAAATAATACTCAAAATTGATCTTTAAAGAAATTTAACAAGATATTCTTGTCACGATAAAGATTAGTTCTTTTTGTAATGAAGATAAATGATTTAATATTTTTACAATATATTGATGACATTTAAAATAAAATTTCCTGTAGCGAAAAAAAAAAAAAACAAAAAAAAAACAAATAAAAAAATACTGCAATATCATAAATTGTTACATAAAATATATCTTTGAAATATGCGTTGAACTCATTATTGTTTTAAGGTAATACATTTCTTGTATTTCGATCGTAAAGATGAATCTGAACATAAGTCTTTAGCACATTAACTCATCTAGCTACCAAGTTTAATTATTTTACTCCAGACGCGCGTTTCGTCTACAAAAAACTCATCAGTGCGCTCAAATAAAAAAAGGTATAAAGGCAAAAGAAAAACTACTAAGTTAAAGAGCATAAAGGACCAAACACTCCGAAAAATTTGTCAACTACTGATACGGTTATCTGTTCCGGGGGTGAAATATCTTTAGTATTTTGAAAAAGACTGAGCAACACGAACCCCACCAAAAACCAGGGGTTATCTCATGCAGGTGTATAATAAACAGTTAAGTCATAATCTTGACCATCTCAACGATAATTCATGTCAACACAGAAGTGCTGACTACTTGACAAAATACGAGTTTCCTTTAAACATTTTGGCAGAATTTGACAAATTATAAGAAAAACATTAAAAAAAATGTTACCAATTTATGTAACGCACAAAGATAATTGTGAACAGTACGTGTTTTTATGCATTTTGAAAGTCAAGGACGATAACTACTTGAAAGCGTGAGGAGCTTCATGACCAAAATGGACCCAAAAATAGCTACCTGCATTAATGGTAACCTTTGGTTGAGGGAGTATGAACCTAAGTTCTTTGAACATATTTTATACAAGAAAAGTATGTTATAAATAACATATTTGAACCACATTAACATGTCAGAAAATCATGTTCTTATTTTCATTTCAATCATTCACAGTAGACGTACTTTGAAATAACGGAATATACTTGAACCAATTGTTGAACAATTTGGTACATATATGTAACATATAACACCGATTAGGTAATTGAGCATGTAGTAAACTGTTTCCTTTGCCTATAACTAGTTCTGACATGATCAACACGAGTGTCACTTATTTATTAAGGACACTCTCACAGCTATTACGTTTTGATTTAATTTATTGATTTTTGATTTCTCAACGTTCAGTGGCCAATAGTTCATGAATGTTCATGACAAGAACAAATAAGCATTCAATACAATATAGACAGGTTCTGCAATGTGGGACGATATTCATGGTAATCTGGGTGTCAATCTTCAGATTTAGTGTATGATGGATGGGACATAACTTTTGACTACTGACCCCTCGGAGAGTTGATGCAAGGTTTCTTTAACGTTCAAAAAGAGAAGCATTTCTCTCAATAAGACACTTTATTTAATGTCACCATTACGAACAGACTTGGTTGCTTATCTATCCCACAGTGCCAAACGGACGCCAGACTTTGCAAGCATTGCCGGACTCGAGAGATCAAGGTGATCAAATGCAATGCCCGATTAGACACTTTTAGACGTGCTTGTGTATCTCTGGCATCTGTTTAATGTTGAAGGAACAACTGTTGTTTTGTGTTTATTTGTATTTTGCGTATGTTTTTGATCGAGTGTTTTGTATATAAAAGTAAGATATCTCCTAATCTCTCTAACCGAAGACACACATTTGCGCTATCAATATCTGCAGTCTTTCGAGATATCTATAGAGATTTTTTTTTTCATGACTACCCATTCACCAGTTATCGTGCTTAATATGTAAAATGTTTTTCTACATGAATAGAAATTGATTAAATGAATTGAAAAAAAAATCTCTAATGGCTTTAGCTATATATTCTGATAGCTTTTCAAGGTTTTTGTCTGTCTTACATGCTTTCTGTTTAAAAAACTTTTGACATTCGTTAATAAATCAGAAAACACAAAAAAAAGTATCGTTTTGTTCTTTTTTTGTTCAAGTTTAATATGTTACAGTTGCAAGCGAATTTATATTAAAATCATGACATGATCCGTTTACTATACAACAAAAATAGAGAAGAGACAAAGGAGGAAGTCGAAACACATTCAGTCTAATTTTAATGAACAACATTATGATCAAAAATTAAAAACGACGACATTACAAATAACAATTTTCTCCGAAAACTAAAGATTGAGCATCACGAACCATACCAAAACATGTGGTTGAACAAGGTGTTAGAAATGGCCAGACATTCCTGCTCCATATGTGACACATGTCATGTTAATCTTGTTAAAATAGGATAATAAGACATATCAAGTTATTAGCAATATTGACGGATAGAACCTTAGACATCGACAATACAAACAACCATCTATACATGTAAGACATCTAACCTTAGAGTTTACTAAATGTTAACACGACCTCAATATGAAAACGACATATAACATAGAACTGCTTGAAAGTTCACAACATTTTGGTCGTGCACATACAAACTTTGTAACAGTGATGACTCACAAAACTGAAAATCAACTTATTATTTAAACACTATCCTGTTTGTTGCTTAATAAAGTCCTGATGTTGTACTTAGTGTTTATGTTAAGTTCTTTTGATGTAAAAAAAAATGAACTAAATGTTCCTTATTTTTGGAATCAGAGACATATTTCCCCGCCCCCTTACAAAAATCTAAATCACTAGTAACCAGAATTTAGCTTAAACGGCCAAATAGGTATTAACCATCTTAAAAAAAGATAACTGGAAAATTAAATCAGATTAACAAAAAATAAAAACGGTTTTCTATCTTATTCAATTCATTTTAAACTATTTTAATAACAGTCAAATAGATTCCCTTGTGGTCATTCAAGTTGTTAGAAGACCCGGTTTACCTCCGTCAAACTAATAAGCCACGCCCCCGTTTAACTAATTCAAACTGATGGTAAGTCCTTTTAAACTTTAAAACGTCCGCCTCCTTGTAAGGTAAATCACTCAAGCAGAAAAGTAACCCCGATAGATATATGTTTATCTTCAATCCATTCCTTACTTTATCGATTTTCTTAACAAATATCCACAATTAAACGACTTAGTGACAAATACATAAGAAAATAAGTAACTTAAAGTTATTGATCTAAGATATGTTTTTAAAATGCAGCAAGAAAAGTGAACCAGTTGAAAATAGAAATTTCCCGTAAATAATATGATTTTAATATGTCCACATGCAGTAGTTCTTTATCTGAAAAGTGTTGATAACTAATATGAAAACTCGAGTTATCTCAGTATTTGAGGTCTCTAAACAATAATTTCTAAAAAAAAAATAAATAGAAATAAATTAAATACAATAAATTTGTCAGTCTGTTACTCTGTATGGTGATGACTTTTATTAATATTTCTGTTAATTTGTCGTATTCCCGTATATTTACCTTTTCTCTTCGTCTGTAACCTATCGGGTATTCCTTACGGAGTATCAATAAAGGGACACATGTAAAAAGAAAAGACAATAGTCATTGTTTACATAAATGAAATGGATAAAAGTAGGTATCCTTAAGGTTACTAAAAACCTTTTACAATTACCGACAAATAAAACAATATGTATTAAAAGTATTATTAAAATTAATGAAACCTTTGATTGTGAAAATGTTGATATTGACTTTTTTTCCGTAAACAGTATAGTCTTGTTGAAACTTATTAATACATTAACAAATTAATCTACTTTT